ACCTCATCCACCTCTTCCTCCTACTGCTCCCCCTCCTCCCCCTCCTCCTCCCCGTCCTCCTCCCGCCGCCAAGTGAAGCCATCGCACAGCTCCCTCAGCATCACCGCCGTCGCGCCGAAGCCGGCCTTGAGAAGCGCCGTGGCCAGCCTGCCGTAGGTGGCCCGCCGGCCCAGGCTCTCCCTCCAGCGCATCAGCATGGCGTAGTTCCTCTCGTTGACGTTGCGCCCGTGGTTCTCGCTCGCCTCGCCGACGAACGACTCCGCGAGGCCCGCGAGCCTCATCACGTGGGTGTAGGCGGAGACGACGCCGTTGGTACGCAGAGTCTCGTGGACCTGCAGCAGCTCCTCGTCTGGTGGTGGTGGTGGGTGGGGGTGGTGGTGGTGGGGGTGGTGGTGGTGGTGGTGGGGGTTGGTGGTGGGGGTTGGTGGTGGGGGTTGGTGGTGGTTGGTGGTAGTGGTGGTGGGGGTTGGTGGTGGTGGTTGGTTGTGGTAGTGGTGGTAGTGGTGGTGGTGGTTGTTCGTGGTAGTGGTGGTGGGGGTTGGTAGTGGTGGTAGTGGTGGTGGGGGTTGGTAGTGGTGGTAGTGGTGGTTGTTGGTGGTGGTGGTGGTTGTTGGTGGTGGTGGGGGTGGTTGTTGGTGGTGGTTGTTGTTGGTGGTGGTAGTGGTGGTGGTTGGTGGTGGTAGTGTTGGTTGGTTGTTGTTGTTGGTGGTGGTAGTGTTGGTTGGTTGTTGTTGTTGGTGGTGGTAGTGTTGGTTGGTGGTAGTGGTGGTGGGTGGTGGTGGTTGGTGGTGGTGGTAGTGTTGGTTGGTGGTTGTTGTTGTTGGTGGTAGTGTTGGTTGTTGTTGTTGTTGGTGGTAGTGGTGGTGGTTAGTGGTGGTAGTGTTGGTTGGTTGTTGTTGTTGGTGGTGGTGGTGGTAGTGTTGGTTGGTGGTAGTGGTGGTGGGTGGTGGTGGTTGGTGGTGGTGGTAGTGTTGGTTGTTGTTGTTGTTGTTGGTGGTGGTAGTGTTAGTTGTTGTTGTTGTTGATTGTTGTTGTTGTTGGTGGTGGTAGTGTTGGTTGTTGTTGTTGGTGGTTGGTGGTGGGTGGTGGTGGTGGTGGTGGTAGTGTTGGTTGTTGTTGTTGTTGGTGGTGGTTGTTGTGGTGGCAAGAAACAAAAACCGCGACAAAATCTGATGAGCTACAAAGCTTTGACAAATAAGAACTGGGGGAGGGTTTTGTTTTGTTTGACCCTTTCCACCAACAACAGGAGTTGTGCTAAGACGTTACAAACACCAACCAAGATCATGAGGCCCTCTTGCAAGGAACCACGTTACCGCTGCATTAACCACACACACACACGGGGTACGTGTGGTGAACGTGCAAACACACATGGCTCTAGGAATAGGTTTTACCCTTTTAACTGGCACAAAAACTGACGCCTTTATTCAAGGCATCATGTTCGCAATAACCACAACACAAGCAGTCAAAATGCAAACAAAAGAGACAACTCTGATAATGATATCGGCACTGTCCTTGAATTTGATTGGTCCACACCCGAGACGGCTTTTGGTATCTTCTGGTCCAACACCTGTGGAGACTAAAGGCTCTAAGAAAAGCCGTCTCGGGTGTGGACCAATCAAATTCAAGGACAGTGCCAATATCATTATTAGAGTTGTCTCTTTTGTTTGCATTTTGACTGCTTGTGTTGTGGTTATTGCAAAAACATGATGCCTTGAATAAAGGTGTCAGTTTTTGTGCCAGTTAAAAGGGTAAAAACCTATTACTATATCTTGTTCCTGGCAAAGGAGGTCTCATAATGTAAAAACATGGCTCTGATAACAACAACAATAATAATGCTGATGGCATTGTTTTTGATAATAATAATAATTCATGGCAATGTCCTTAATTACATCAAAAGTAACACAACAGCAGGTGTTGTATTCTTGGCTCTTTCAGTAAAGTCACGTAGAAGGGAAACAATAAAAAAAGTAAAACCAAAACAATACAATTCTCACGACGTTTCGGGGACTTTACCGAAAGAAACCAAGGATATGAATCCCTGCAGTCACGGAAGCTTTAAATCGAAACAGGAGTTGTGCTAAGACGTTACAAACACCAACCAAGATCATGAGGCCTTATTGCAAGGAATCACGTTACCGCTGCATTAACCACACACACACACACATGGGGTACGTGTGGTGAACGTGCAAACACACATGGCTCTGATAACAACAACAACAATAATAATAATGTTGCAAGGCATTGTCTATATAGATACAGTGTCTTAACACAACCCCTGTTTCATTATGGCCAGAAAGGGTAACGCACCTATTCTTAAATTGTGATACTGACAAGGGATGTCCCATAATGCGTTTAAGTTTGTTTGGCAGACGCTAAAGAAGAAGAAGATGATGATGATGATGTCAGCCACTCGTCTGCGCCGCTATCATTGCATGGTGATGGCGAGGTTACCGCCTCTGAAATTAAACTACACAGCAGCTCAGTGGGGCCTTGACCTGATATCATAAACAGTTTATATTCTTATCTCTTTCGGTAAAGTCACCACGTTGAAGGGAAACAATAAAATAATGAAATATATATAAAACAATAAAAAATTCTCACGACGTTTCGACCATAACAGAAACGATCGTCATAAATCCAAAAATAAACAGTTTAGTTCAGGATTTTGGGTCTCTATGAGTCTCTATGGGTCTCTTTGTATTTCTGGTGTCTCTATGGGTCTCTATGTATCTCTGGTGTCTCTATGGGTCTCTATGTAGTATCTCTGGTGTCTCTACGGGTCTCTATGTAGTATCTCTGGTGTCTCTATGGATCTCTATGTAGTATCTCTGGTGTCTCTATGGGTCTCTATGTAGTATCTCTGGTGTCTCTATGGGTCTCTATGTAGTATCTCTGGTGTCTCTATGGGTCTCTGTGTAGTATCTCTCGTGTCTCTATGGGTCTCTATGTAGTATCTCTGGTGTCTCTATGGGTCTCTATGTAGTATCTCTGGTGTCTCTATGTATCTCTGGTGTCTCTATGGGTCTCTATGTAGTATCTCTGGTGACTCTATGGGTCTCTATGTATCTCTGGTGTCTCTATGGGTCTCTATGTAGTATCTCTGGTGTCTCTATGGGTCTCTGTGTAGTATCTCTGGTGTCTCTATGGGTCTCTATGTAGTATATCTGGTGTCTCTATGGGTCTCTATGTAGTATCTCTGGTGTCTCTATGGGTCTCTATGTATCTCTGGTGTCTCTATGGGTCTCTATGTAGTATCTCTGGTGTCTCTATGGGTCTCTATGTAGTATCTCTGGTGTCTCTATGGGTCTCTATGTAGTATCGCTGGTGTCTCTATGGGTCTCTATGTATCTCTGGTGTCTCTATGGGTCTCTATGTAGTATCTCTGGTGTCTCTATGGGTCTCTATGTATCTCTGGTGTCTCTATGGGTCTCTATGTAGTATCTCTGGTGTCTCTATGGGTCTCTATGTAGTATCTCTGGTGTCTCTATGGGTCTCTATGTATCTCTGGTGTCTCTGTGGGTCTCTGTGTAGTATCTCTGGTGTCTCTATGGGTCTCTATGTATCTCTGGTGTCTCTATGGGTCTCTATGTAGTATCTCTGGTGTCTCTATGGGTCTCTATGTAGTATCTCTGGTGTCTCTATGGGTCTCTATGTATCTCTGGTGTCTCTGTGGGTCTCTGTGTAGTATCTCTGGTGTCTCTATGGGTCTCTATGTAGTATCTCTGGTATCGCTGGTGTCTCTATGGGTCTCTGTGTAGTATCTCTGGTGTCTCTATGGGTCTCTACGTATCTCCAAGCGTGTCAGAATGTTTTTGCCAGCTGCTATGCATCTCGACACGATGCTGATGCTGATGGCCAGGTGGGGCCCTCTACGCATGGCGCTAGTGAGGATGAGAAACCAGTTGTAGGCGGTTGTGATAAGAGGGGGTTTTGTTGGGGTTATATCGCTGAGTAAATGTGTAAATGTGTGTTGTGTCGTAAAAACCCGCCACACCCGACACAGCCAACAAATAGGGGGTTGTCACGTAAACAGAACGTGGCCAATTCGTCACTAGTACAGCACTAGTGTGTAGTGTATAGTGTAGTGTATAGTGTAGTGTAATGTGTAGTGTATAGTGTAGTGTATAGTGTAGTGTATAGTGTAGTGTGTAGTGTAGTGTGTAGTGTATAGTGTAGTGTAGTGTGTAGTGTAATGTGTAGTGTAATGTATAGTGTAGTGTACAGTAGTGTGTAGTGTAGTGTATAGTGTAGTGTATAGTGTAGTGCATAGTAGTGTATAGTGTAGTATACAGTGTAGTGTAGTGTGTAGTGTATAGTGTAGTGTATAGTGTAGTGTATAGTATAGTGTGTAGTGTAGTGTGTAGTGTATAGTGTAGTGTATAGTGTAGTGTATAGTGTAGTGTATAGTGTAGTGTAGTGTATCGTGTAGTGTACAGTAGTGTAGTGTATAGTAGTGTAGTGTGTAGTAGTGTAGTGTGTAGTGTAGTGTATAGTGTGGTGTGTAGTGTATAGTGTAGTGTATAGTAGTGTATAGTGTAGTGTATAGTGTAGTGTATAGTGTAGTGTATAGTGTAGTGTATAGTAGTGTATAGTGTAGTGTATAGTATATTGTATAGTGTAGTGTATAGTAGTGTAGTGTATAGTAGTGTATAGTATATTGTATAGTGTAGTGTATAGTGTAGTGTATAGTGTAGTGTATAATGTAGTGTATAGTATAGTGTATAGTGTAGTGTATAATGTAGTGTATAGTATAGTGTATAGTGTAGTGTATAATGTAGTGTATAGTATAGTGTATAGTGTAGTGTATAATGTAGTGTATAGTATATTGTATAGTGTAGTGTATAGTAGTGTATAGTAGTGTATAGTGTAGTGTATAGTGTAGTGTATAATGTAGTGTATAGTGTAGTGTATAGTGTAGTGTATAGTGTAGTGTAAAGTGTAGTGTATAGTAGTGTAGTGTATAGTGTAGTGTATAGTGTAGTGTATAGTGTAGTGTATAATGTAGTGTATACTGTAGTGTATAGAGTAGTGTATAGTGTAGTGTAAAGTGTAGTGTATAGTAGTGTAGTGTATAGTGTAGTGTATAGTGTAGTGTATAGTGTAGTGTAAAGTGTAGTGTATAGTAGTGTAGTGTATAGTGTAGTGTATAGTGTAGTGTATAGTAGTGTAGTGTATAGTGTAGTGTATAGTGTAGTGTATAGTGTAGTGTATAGTGTAGTGTATAGTGTAGTGTGTAGTGTATAGTGTAGTGTATAGTGTAGTGTATAGTGTAGTGTATAGTAGTGTATAGTGTGGTGTATAGTGTAGTGTATAGTGTAGTGTATAGTAGTGTATAGTGTAGTGTATAGTGTAGTGTATAGTGTAGTGTGTAGTGTATAGTGTAGTGTATAGTGTAGTGTATAGTGTAGTGTATAGTGTAGTGTATAGTAGTGTATAGTGTAGTGTATAGTGTAGTGTATAGTGTAGTGTATAGTGTAGTGTGTAGTGTAGTGTATAGTGTAGTGTGTAGTGTAGTGTATAGTGTAGTGTATAGTGTAGTGTAGAGTGTAGTGTATAGTAGTGTATAGTGTAGTGTATAGTGTAGTGTATAGTGTAGTGTATAGTGTAGTGTATAGTGTAGTGTATAGTGTAGTGTATAGTGTAGTGTGTAGTGTATAGTGTCGTGTATAGTGTAGTGTATAGTGTAGTGTATAGTAGTGTATAGTGTAGTGTATAGTGTAGTGTATAGTGTAGTGTGTAGTGTATAGTGTAGTGTGTAGTGTAGTTATAGTGTAGTGTATAGTGTAGTGTATAGTGTAGTGTATAGTGTAGTGTATAGTAGTGTATAGTGTAGTGTATAGTGTAGTGTATAGTGTAGTGTATAGTAGTGTATAGTGTAGTGTATAGTGTAGTGTATCGTGTAGTGTATAGTGTAGTGTATAGTGTAGTGTATAGTGTAGTGTATAGTGTAGTGTATAGTGTAGTGTATAGTAGTGTATAGTGTAGTGTATAGTGTAGTGTGTAGTGTAGTGCATTGTATAGTAGTGTATAGTGTAGTGTATAGTGTAGTGTGTAGTGTAGTGTATAGTGTAGTGTATAGTGTAGTGTATAGTGTAGTGTGTAGTGTATAGTGTAGTGTATAGTGTAGTGTATAGTGTAGTGTATAGTAGTGTATAGTGTAGTGTATAGTGTAGTGTGTAGTGTAGTGTATAGTGTAGTGTATAGTGTAGTGTATAGTGTAGTGTATAGTAGTGTATAGTGTAGTGTATAGTGTAGTGTATAGTGTAGTGTATAGTGTAGTGTATAGTAATGTGTAGTGTAGTGTGTAGTGTAGTGTATAGTGTAGTATATAGTGTAGTGTATAGTGTAGTGTATAGTGTAGTGTATAGTGTAGTGTATAGTGTAGTGTATAGTGTAGTATGTAGTGTAGTGTATAGTGTAGTGTATAATAGTGTATAGTGTAGTGTATAATAGTGTATAGTGTAGTGTATAGTGTAGTGTATAATAGTGTAGTGTATAGTGTAGTGTATAGTGTAGTGTATAGTGTAGTGTATAGTGTAGTGTATAATAGTGTAGTGTATAGTGTAGTGTAGTGTGTAGTGTATAGTGTAGTGTATTGTGTAGTGTATAGTGTAGTGTATAGTGTAGTGTATAGTGTAGTGTATAGTGTAGTGTACTATTGCAGCACACCGTTAGTGCGTTGGAGAGCCAAGCCACAACATTTACGCGACATAACCCCCAAAAGACCCTCTCCGTGATGGATGATATTGGCGGTAAAAGCCTCCTGCTTCGTGTCGAGCTGCAGTAGGTACCCTTCACGAAACGTTGCTGGCTGGCCCCGGATTTTTTCTTCTTCCTGCCGACGTCACCGGCGGCCTGACGGGAGACGAGGAAAGGGAGACAGTCAAAGCAGCTTAGCAACAGCATCACAACAGCATCACAACAGCATCACAACAGCATCACAACAGCATCACAGCATCACAACAACATCACAACAGCATCACAGCAGCATCACAGCATCACAACAACATCACAACAGCATCACAGCAGCATCACAACAGCATCACAACAGCATCACAGCAGCAGCATCAGCAAGAGCATCAACAGCATCACAATAGCATCACAGCAACAGCATCACCAACAGCATCAGCATCACCAACAGCATCAACAACATCACAACAGTATCACAACAGCATCAACAACAGCATCAACAGTATCACAAAAGTATCACAACAGCATCACCAACAGCATCAACAACATCACAACAGCATCACAGCAGTATCACAGCAGCATCAACAACAGCATCAACAGTATCACAACAGTATCAACAACAGCATCAACAGTATCACAACAGCATCAGCAACAGCATCACCAACAGCATCACCAACAGCATCAACAACATCACAACAGCATCACAACAGCATCACAGCAGCATCACAGCAGCATCAACAACAGCATCAACAGTATCACAACAGTATCACAACAGCATCACAGCAACATCACAACAGCATCAAAACAGCATCACAACAACATCACAACAACATCACAACATCACAACAGCATCACAACAGCATCACAACAGCATCAACAGCATCACAGCAACATCACAACAGCATCACAACAAGATCACAACAACATCACCAACAGCATCACAGCAGTATCAACATCACCCCTCCACCGTGGCCACAGAGGCCACCTCCTGCCGGCCCACGTGGGCCTCACCGTGGCTAGTGGGGCCTCGCTCCGCCGTGGCCACCGAGGCCACCTCCTGCCGGCCCACGTGGGCCTCACCGTGGCTAGTGGGGCCTCGCTCCATCGTGGCCACAGAGGCCACCTCCTGCCGGGCCAGAATGTAGAAACAGAATCTTTATTCAGGCCGGGGGAAGCGATCCGGTGAGCTGAGGATGGATCTTTTTTCTTTTTTTTTCTTTTTTTCAACCCGCAAAAAAGTCGTTTCACCGGGGTTCCACACAGACGTCCGGGTGAGTGGATAACGTGGCTGGGAGGGTGTGGGTTTGGGTGTGTGGGTGAGCGGATGAGTGTGTGTGCATGTGCGAGGTGGGTGGCTGAGTGGGCGGGTGAATGGGCGGGTGTGTGGGTAGGTGGGTGGGGTGGGTGAGTGTGGGTGGGTGGGTGTGTACGTGGGTAGGTGGGTGGGTGGGTGAGTGTGTGTGGGTGGGTGTGTAGGTATGTTGGGAGCGGTAGTGTAGCGGTTAGCGCTACGCTGCGCTATGAACCCGGCGACCCGGGTTCGATTCCCGCTCAACGGCCAACACCAGTGACGATTTTCTGAACCGGTCCCGGACCTCCCCTAGGTCGACTCAGCCTCTAATGAGTACCTGGTGCGGTGTGTAAACATCGCCACTGGGGAGACAAAGGCGGCCGGGCGTGGTGTTGGCCACCCACCCCCTCGTGTGCCGTTCCGGCCTTCATAGGTGCTCGCTAATAGCACTTGCCCCTACAGTATGTTAAGGCTATACGGGGGATCTTTGTCTTTGTACGTGGGTAGGTGGGTGGGTGAGTGTGTGTGTGTGCTTTGGGTACGCGGTCCAAACCTCCCCAGAGACCCCTGGTTGACACGGGAGGTGTTCCGGCTGGCTGAGAAAAAGCGACAGGCCCACTCTCACCGTTTACAGCATCCCAAGTCAGAGAATGAGGAGGCTTACCGCAGCCTTCGCTCGGAGGTTCGGAGAGCCGTGAGGCGCTGCAAGGATGGGTGGTGGTCGCGGGTTGCTGAGGAGATGGAGTCTGCCTCAGTAGCCCGCGATCACAAATCGCTCTTTAGCTACATCAAAAAAGTAACTTGTAGCACCACACATATCACCATCATTCAGAGAAAGATAGGTGATCTGGTTTCTGACCCCCAGGAACAAGTTTGTAGATTTGCTGAGCATTTCTGTGAGGTCTTGGGGGAGGGGAAATCTCTCAGCCTGGAAAACATCGTGGGACAAAGTGAGGATGACCCAGCCGAGGCTGCGGTGCCTCAAATATTGGAAGAAGTCACCCCCTGTGAGTGGCTGGCTGAGGTGCCATCTGTTGAGGTCAGTACTGAAAATCGCAGGGCAGATATGATCTCCCAAGCAAAATGCTGTGGGAGGGTGGCGTTTGTGCACAGACTGTCCTACTTTTTTCAAATTTTCTTGCTGTGGTTTTCACACCTGATGATGATTGCTTGTGTTGCAGTCGAAACGTCGTGGGAATTTTAATGTTTTAGATTTGTATTATTTTATTGTTTCCCTTCTACGTGACTTTACCGAAAGAATCAAGAATATCATAACAACAGTCGGGACTATTGGGAGAGTTCCGAGAATTGGAATGATGCCCTGGTGGTCCCCCTCTTTAAGAAGGGGAACCGCACAGACTGTAACAACTACAGGGGAAATATCCTGGCAAGGATTGTTAAACATCACCTTGCCAGGCACGCTGAGGAGAGGCTTGCGGAGCCCCAATGTGGTTTCAGGAAAGGGCGGTCCTGCACAGATGCCATATTTTCTGTCTGTCTGCTACAGCAGAGTTGTAAGAATTCTAACAGGATCTACATTTTTGCTTTATTAACCTGGTCAAAGCCTATGATACCATCAGTAGGCCTTGGCTCTGGGTTGTTCTTCGTGCTTTCGGAGTCCCTGACCCTTTGCTCATAATCATTAAGGACCTTTATGGTGGTGGGAAGACATTTTTTGACCACGTGGTTCGTGAAGCGTTCGATGGCTGTACCGGAGGAATCTCCATATGGTACAGATACAACAGGATGCTGATCGATGCCCGGGTGCGGTCAAGGGATGGCTCACTATTGGTCAACCACGTTACGTATGCCGATGATCTGGTGATTGATGCTCACTCAGAAAAGTTGGAGACGCTGCTACTGAGACTGGAGCTTGACACTAAGAGATGGGGCCTTAATATCAGCCCCACCAAAACTAAGCACCTGCCTGGGTATTTTGTACCATCAGACACTCCACCCCCACAACTCCCAATCGGTGATGGGGCAGTTGTGGAGAGAGTGGAGAGTTTCCCATACCTGGGCAGTGTGCTTATGACCGGCTCCAGTTTAACAGCAGAGGTCCCACTCCGAATCAGTCGAGCGGCAATATCTTTTCACCGGCTGCGTAACGCCGCTGTGTGGAAGCTACCTGGTCTGTCGCTCCGCACGAAGCTTCAGGTCTTCTCGGCCACGGTAATTCCCTCCCCTCTCTACGCTTACAAAAAGTGGACCCCCCCCCCCAATGGAACATCTTCACATTCAGGCTGGGCTCCTGCCCACGATCCATCCTGGGTTTAACCTGCAGGATGGATCGTGCGACGAGCTCTCAAATCCTTGACGGATCTGGACAGAGTCCGACAGGTGAGCGCCTCCGGCAGGCTGAGGCTGCGTCGTTAAATTCTGCCACCACCACCACATCAACGCAGCCCATCAGTAGGGTTTGTCACGTTAACAGAAAATGCCAAATTCTTTGGTTCCTTCGGGTAAAGTCGCGTAGATGGGCGAAGGCTGCTCGCGGTGCGATCGGAACGCCGCCGTTGTTTTTTTTGCTTTCATTTTTAATGTTACCTTGATGTTGGTTGCGGAATCCTGCACGTTAAACAGGCAAGGCCGCGTTGGCTGGGTCACGTAGCCCGCATGCCCGGCCACCGCATGACGAAACAGCTTTTGTTCGGCCGGATCGAGGGGGCTAAGCGGGCGCGGCACGGGCTAGAGAAGAGACGGAGTGATGTGGTACAGGAGGACGTGGAGCTGAGTGGACTTGCCGATGACTGGTACCAGCGGTGTCAAGATCGGCCTCTGTGGAGGAGGCTCGTGAAGGACGCTACTGGGCAGTTGGAGGCAGTCGCCCTCCAACAACAACGGAGGGCGGAGGAGCGACGCTCACAACAACGAGCGGAGCGCCGGGTGGCTAAAGCACAGCAGGTTGGCACAGTAGGGGGCACAGGTGGTGCATCAGCCAGTCATCTCGGTCAGTCGACCCGTGGCACCTGGGTCTGCCCCGTGACCTCCTGCCAGCGGGCATTCGACACTTCACGTGGCCTCAAGGTGCACATGGCCTGGCACAAGCGTCGTGGTGACGTCACCGCCACTTAGTGGCGAATGGCGGTTGTTGTTGTTGTTGTTGTGTGCAGTGGGGAGCGGCAGTGTAGCGGTTAGCGCTACGCTGAGCTACGAACCCGGCGACCCGCTCACGGCCAACACCGTCAGAGACGATCATTTTAACCGGTCGGCTGAGGTCGACTCAGCCTCAAATGTGTAAACATCGCCACTGGGGGAGACAAAGGCGGCCGGGCGTGGTGCTGGCCACCCTCCCCCTCGTGTGCCGTGCCGGCCTTCATAGGTGCTGCTACGCGCTAACGGCACTCGCCCCGACAGTCTGCCGAGGCTACACGGGGGACCTTTGTCTTGGTTTATGGAGCGGTGCACAGCGCTACCGAAACCCCGGCAAAGAGATCTGAGTTGAATTAACATCTCAGGGCCACTACCACCACTGCCCGCACCACCACCATCATCACCACCACCATCATCACCACCACCACCACCACCATCACCATCACCACCACCACCATCATCACCACCACCACCATCATCACCACCACCACCACCACCATCATCACCACCACCACCACCATCATCACCACCACCACCACCACCACCACCGCCACCACCACCATCATCACCACCACCACCACCGCCATCACCTCCATCACCACCACCACCTCCATCACCACCACCACCTCCACCACCATCACCACCCCCACCGCCACCACCACCATCACCACCACCACCACCACCCCCACCACAACCTCCCCTACCACCGCCACCACCGCCACCACCACCATCACCACCCCCACCACCACCGCCCCCACCACCACCACCTCCACCACCATCACCACCGCCACCACCACCATCACCACCACCGCCCCCACCACCACCACCACCCCCATCACCCTCACCACCACCATCATCACCACCACCTCCACCACCATCACCACCACCCCCACCACCCTCACCACCACCACCCCCACCACCCTCACCACCACCACCATTACCGCCCCCACCACCACCACCGCCCCCACCACCACCACCACAATCACCACCACCACCGCCCAAGTGAGTCACCTGCTGCTGCTGCTGCTGCCGATGGCATTCTGAGACATCCCCGGCATCGGCGCTGGCGGCGCCTCCTCCTCCTCTTCCTCCTCCTCTTCCTCTTCCTCCTCCTACTCCTGCTCCTCCTGCTCCTCCTCCTCCTCCTCGCTGTCCCCGCCGAGTGTCAACGAGCTCCAAGCCCTGCAGGAGGGAGCTCGCATCCCTGGGCCCCGACGGAACCTCTCCGTGGGGGCCGGAGTCCCAGGAGTCGCCGCGGCAGGCCTGGGGGTCTGGGCGCTTTCCCCTCGACGGGAGGTGGCAGCCGTCCCGCACGGCCATGTCCGGCTCCAGGTCACCCTCCATGTGGTGGTGGACAGGGAGAGAGAGAGATCTTCCCCCCCTCTCTCTGTGTGTCTCTTATCTCTCTTTCGCTTGCTCTCTCTCTCTGGAGTGGTCACGTGAGTGGGGGCAGGGAGGGAGGAGAGGAGGGGAGGGGATGGACATCGTAAGGTGTCGAAGAGCGTGAAGGCGTTTAAGTTGTGTACATTGTGTGTGTGTGTCTGTGTGTGTGTGTGTCTGTGTGTGTGTGTCTGTGTGTGTGTCTCTGTGTGTGTGTGTCTGTGTGTGCGTGTGTACGTTCAACTCCATGGGCATCGTACGTGGTCAAACGCGCTCATCTGTGCCGAGTGGATGGGCGGGTGTCTGGGTGTGTGGGTGAGTGTGTGGGTGAGTGTGTGGGTGTGTGTGTGGGTGGGTGAGTGTGTGAGTGTGTGGGTGAGTGTGTGGGTGTGTGTGTGAGTGTGTGGGTGAGTGTGTGGGTGTGTGTGTGAGTGTGTGGGTGAGTGTGTGAGTGTGTGGGTGAGTGTGTGGGTGAGTGTGTGAGTGTGTGGGTGAGTGTGTGGGTGTGTGTGTGGGTGGGTGTGTGGGTGGGTGTGTGGGTAAGTGGGTGGGTGAGTGTGTGGGCGAGTGTCTGGGTGTGTGTGTGGGTGGGTGAGTGTGTGAGTGTGTGGGTGAGTGTGTGGGTGTGTGTGTGAGTGTGTGGGTGAGTGTGTGGGTGTGTGTGGGTGAGTGTGTGGGTGTGTGTGTGTGAGTGTGTGGGTGGGTGTGTGGGTAAGTGGGAGGGTGAGTGTGTGGGCGAGTGTATGGGTGTGAGTGGGTGGGTGAGTGTGGGTGGGTGTGTGGGTGGGTGTGTGGGTAAGTGGGTTGGTGGGTGTGTGGGTGAGTTGGTGAGTGGGGGAGTATGTGAGTGTGTGGGTGAGTGTGTGGGTGAGTGTGTGGGTGGGTGTGTGGGTGGGTGTGTGGGTAAGTGGGTGGGTGAGTGTGTGGGTGTGTGGGTAAGTGGGTGGGTGAGTGTGTGGGTGAGTCGGTATGTGAGTATGTGAGTGTATGTACGGGTGTGTGGGTGAGTGGCCTCAAGGTGCACATGGCCTGGCACAAGCATCGTGGTGACGTCACCGCCACTAAGTGGCGAATGGCGGTTGTTGTTGTTGTTGTGGGTGAGTGTGTGTGTGGGTGAGTGTGTGGGTGAGTGTGTGGGTGTGTGTGTGTGTGGGTGTGTGGGTGAGTGAGTGTGTGTGTGTGTGAGTATGTGAGTGTGTGTGTGAGTATGTGAGTGTGTGTGAGTGTGTGTGAGTATTTGAGTGTGTGTGTGGGTATGTGAGTGTGTGTGTGGGTATGTGGGTAAGTGGGTGGGTGAGTGTGTGGGTGAGTCGGTATGTGAGTATGCATGTGGAACTTCTTTCGCACCGTACGTAGCCAAACACGCTCATCGGAGGTACGGGCGAAGGACAACAAACTAAACACAACAACAAGCAGCAGTTCTAAGAAATTAGTTTGTCAATCTAGATGATGATTTATAAGTGCCTAGGTCCCAGTGGGTGCTTCATATCAGAAGGAAGAGCGTTCTAGATGGCATCACCACCACCACCACCTCCACCACCAATCAGCATGAGCCAAATAGTCTTCAATGCGTGATGTTGATTCTAAATGCGGTGGTCACAAAGCGACCAGCAGGACCACCTGCATACCAGGCGAAGGTGGTTAACATCTACTAGTCACAGTGGTGACGATGAGAGAGACGCAGACAGCATGCATCGTCAGGGTCACGGGAGCGAACCCACGAACCTCCTGCATAGTAGAGAAGAAGAAGAAAAACCTAGACACCGCAGCACTCCAGACAGACACACACACAGACAGACACACAGACAGACACACACAGACAGACAGACACAGACAGACACACACAGACAGACACACACAGACAGACACACAGACAGACACACAGACAGACACAGATAGACACACACACACAGACAGACACACACACACAGACACACAAACACAGACAGACACACACAGACAGACACACAAAGACAGACACACACACAACAACAACCGCCATTCGCCACTAAGTGGCTGTGACATCACCACGACGCTTGTGCCAGGCCATGTGCACCCTGAGGCCACGTGAAGTGTCGAACGCCCGCTGGCAGGAGGTCATGGGGCAGACCCAGGTGCCACGGGTCGACTGACTGAGATGACTGGCTGATGCACCACCTGTGCCCCCTACTGTGCCAACCTGCTGTGCTGTAGCCACCCGGCGCTCCGCTCGTTGTTGTGAGCGTTGCTCCTCCACCCTCCGTTGTTGTTGGAGGGCGACTGCCTCCAACTGCCCAGTAGCATCCTTCACGAGCCTCCTCCACAGAGGCCGATCTTGACACCGCTGGTACCAGTCATCGGCAAGTCCAATCAGCTCCACGCCCTCCTGTACCACGTCACTCCATCTCTTCTCTAGCCCGTGCCGCGCCCGTTTAGCCCCCTCGATCCAGCCGAACAAAGGCTGTTTCAGAATGCGGTGGCTGAGATGCGGGCTACATGACCCAGCCAATGTAGCCTTGCCTGCCAGAGGAGCTCACCGATGGGACCTTGCCCAGATCTTTCAAGGAATTGTGAGCTCCTCACACAATCCAGCCTGGTTAGACCCAGGATGGATCGTGGGCAGGCTAGCCTAAATGTTTCTAGCCGGCGAAGATGTTCCATTAGCCGGGTCCACGTTTCACAAGCGTAGAGAAGGGAGGGAATAACCGTGGCCGAGAAGACCTGAAGCTTAGTGCGGAGCAACAGACCAGGTAGCTTACACACAGCGTTATGCAACCGATGAAAAGATGCCGCTCAACTGATTCTGAGTGAGACCTCTGCTGTCAAACTGGATCCGGTCATGAGCACACTGCCCAGGTATGGGAAACTCTCCACTCTCTCCACAACTGCCCCATCACCGATTGGGAGTTGTGGGGGTGGAGTGTCCGATGGTACAAAATACCCAGGCAGGTGCTTAGTTTTGGTGGGGCTGATGGTAAGGCCCCACCTATTAGTGGCACGCTCCAGTCTCAGCAGCAGCGTCTCCAACTTGTCCTCTGAGTGAGTGGCAATTACCAGATCATTGAGGTACCGCAGCCTCGGCAGGGTCATCCCCACTTTGTGCCACGTTGCTTTCCAGGCTGAGGGATTTCCCCTCCCCCAGGACGTCACAGAAATGCTCAGCAAATCTTCGAACCTGCTCCTGGGGGACGGAGATTGGATCACCGTTCTTTCCCCCAAATGAGGGTAATAGGTGTGGCGCGGCAGGTTACTTTTTTTTATAGAATTAAAGAGCGATGTGTGATCCCATCAGCAACCCGCGACCACCACCCATCCTTGCAGCGCCTCACGGCTCTCCGAATTTCTGAGCGAGTCTACGGTAAGCCTCCTCATTCTCTGACGTGGTATGCTGTAGCCGATGACAGTGCGCCTGTCAATTTTTTCTCAGCCATCCTGAACACCTCCTCCGTCAGCCAGGGTCTCGGGGGAGGTCTGGACCGCGTACCCAAAGCAGCCGTTGCAGCTGCATGAGCCACAGTCCTAAGCCTCGCCCATTTACCCTCGACATCAGGAGAAGTCGGGGACAATGCCAATCCCAGCCGCAAGCGATGATGAAATTCTCGCTTGCAACTTTCATCAGATAACTGAGACCAGGCCACTTTATGTTGGAATGGGGTCCTGGGTGTACACCCACCACCGGAGTGGAAGAATGGCAGGCGCATCTTACAGATGACTAGTCGATGGTCAGAGGGCAGATCAGCTCCACGGTAGGTCCTGGTGTCAAGGACATGGGCTCGCATCCGCTGTTCCGTCACTATGCAGTCCAGCAGATGTTCTTGCTTGGACCCGGCATGCATCCATGATGTTGTGTGGATGCGCCGATGCCGGAACAGCGTGTTGGTAATTACAATCCCATGGGCTGCACAAAAATTCTAGCAGCCTCCTGCCGTTGTTATTGAGCTGATCCGGCCCATGCCTTCCAATCACTCCAGACCAGGTGCCAGCATCATGACCAACTCCGGCATTGAAGTCACCCAACAAGATGCCTCTATCCCGAGGGGCCACTTTAGCCAGCACCTGTGACAGGAGGCCTTGTCTGCATCCCTCCACGGAAACATCTCCTAGCGAGCCCAAAGTAACCTGGGGCTTACAGCTTCCCACAACTCACCGCCACGCTCCCACGCCAAACAACAGGGAGTGGCTCTTCAGAAGAAGAGCCACTCCCTGTTGTTTGGCAGTCTCCTGCCCCGAGTAGAGGACTGTCCATCGCTCATGGTGGCAGGAGCCGGACCAGGTCCACCGGACCTTTTGAATACCACAGAGATTCAGGCGGTACCGGTCCAGCTCCCGACAGCGTTCGAACATTCCACAAGGCCACACTGAGTGGTTTTTTTGTTGTTTCTGGATTCAGTCTCCTGGCTCCGCCAAATGGGGTTTGGCCAAGAGACATCATAGACGCCTGTCCCATCCGGCACAAGCTTAATACGTGTTTTTACTCATAGTTTAGTGGTAATTAATTGAAAGGTGGAGGGGTTACCAGCCCCTCGCACCCGTCCAGAGCCCCCGTTTGGCCGCTGTGGTGGTAGAGACGCCAGGAGGGGAATGGCCAATTAAAGTTGGCCATCCCCCCACAGACAGACACACAGACACACACAGAGACACAGAGAGACACAGAGACACAGAGAGACACACAGACACACATAGACACAGAGAGACACACAGACACACACAGAGACACAGAGAGACACAGAGAGACACAGAGAGACACACATAGACACAGAGAGACACAGAGACACAGAGAGACACACAGAGACACAGAGAGACACAGAGACACAGAGAGACACAGAGAGACACACAAAGACACACAGACATACACAGAGACACAGAGAGACACACAGAGACACAGAGAGACACACAGACACACATAGACACAGAGAGACACACAGACACACACAGAGACACAGAGAGACACAGAGAGACACACATAGACACAGAGAGACACACAGACACACACAGAGACACAGAGAGACACAGAGACACAGAGAGACAGACACAGAGAGACACACATAGACACAGAGAGACACAGAGACACAGAGAGACACACAGAGACACAGAGAGACACAGAGACACAGAGAGACACAGAGAGACACACAAAGACACAGAGAGACACAGAGAGACACAGAGACACAGAGAGACACAGAGAGACACACAGAGACACAGAGAGACACAGAGACACAGAGAGACACAGAGAGACACACAGAGACACAGAGAGACACACAGAGACACAGAGAGACACACATAGACACAGAGAGACACACATAGACACAGATACACAGACACACACAGAGACACATAGACACAGAGAGACACACACAGAGACACAGAGAGACAGAGAGAGACAGAGAGACACAGAGACACAGAGAGACACACACAGAGACACAGAGAGACACAGAGACACACAGAGACACACACAGAGACACACACAGAGAGACACAAACAGACACACATAGAGACACACACAGAGACACAGAGACACAGAGAGACACACACAGAGACACACACAGAGACACACACAGACACACATAGAGACACACACACACAGAGACACAGACACAGAGACACACACAGACACACACACAGAGACACACACAGACACACACAGAGACACAGACACACACACAGACACACACACAGAGACACACACAGACACACACAGACACACACACAGAGACACACACACAGACACACACGCAAAGAGATGCACGCACACAGAGACACGGGGAGCCAGAGAGAGAGAGAGACGCAAACCCCAAAAATAAAGCAGCAGCAGCAGCAGCGGCATCCGGCACCGCGAGGACCCGGGAATCGAAGTAGGTTAACACATTCTCCTTGCGGAGGGGAGGAGCTGCTAGTAACGTTGGGTTGCTCGGTCAATGGCCAGGGTCAGGGGCGGAGCCAGGAATTTCAGGCCGGGGAGACATTCAACAGATGTTAACTTCAAGAATGATTTAGAGAGAGTCAGGCTGTTGAGCCAGACAACCAGCCCGATGTCACCCCTGTCACACCCCACCGGCTCCGCCCCTGGCCAGGGTCACACGGCACCAGCACCACGTGGTGGTGTATTCTGCACAACATGCCCGACTGTGAGGGCGGGCACAAGCCGGCAGTGAGTAGGTTAAACGTTGAGTTTTATAAGGGGGGCACCACGGGGTGAGAAGCCCCTCCCCACCCAGCCCCACCCTCTCCACCCAGCCCCTCCCTACCCTCTCCCACCCAGGCCCACACCTCCCACGTGGACAGACATCCACAGACATACACAACAATTAATCCTCTGCCTCCTGTGAATTAATCCCGGTTTGGTTTTCCAGTCCAACAAGTTTCCCACTGCCAGGAACATTCGCATCAAACCCTGGTGCCCCTAACCACTCGCTCACCACTACGCTCACCATCACACTCACCACTACACTCACCACCACACTCACCACTACGCTCACCACCACACTCACCACCGCACTCACCACTACACTCACCACTACACTCACCACCACCACTACACTCACCACCACACTCACCACCACTACACTCACCACCACACTCACCACCACCACTACGCTCACCACCACACTCACCACTACACTCACCACTACACTCACCACCACCACACTCACCACTACACTCACCACTACTACACTCACCACTACACTCACCACCACACTCACCACTACTACACTCACCACTACACTCACCACCACACTCACCACCACCACTACACTCACCACTACACTCACCACCACTACACTCACCACCACGACACTCACCACCACCACACTCACCACTCACCACTACACTCACCACACCACACTCACCACCACTACACTCACCACCACTACACTCACCACCACGACACTCACCACCACACTCACCACTACACTCACCACCACACTCACCACCACCACTACGCTCACCACTACACTCACCACCACCACACTCACCACTACACTCACCACTACACTCACCACCACACTCACCACTACTAGACTCACCACTACACTCACCACCACCACACTCACCACCACACTCACCACCACCACTACACTCACCACTACACTCACCACCACTACACTCACCACCACTACACTCACCACCACTACACTCACCACTCACCACTACACTCACCACCACCACACTCACCACCACTACACTCACCACCACTACACTCACCACCACGACACTCACCACCACACTCACCACCACCACTACACTCACCACCACACTCACCACCACCACTACGCTCACCACCACACTCACCACCACCACACTCACCACTACACTCACCACTACTACACTCACCACCACACTCACCACTACTACACTCACCACTACACTCACCACCACCACACTCACCACCACACTCACCACCACTACACTCACCACTACACTCACCACCACTACACTCACCACCACTACACTCACCACCACGACACTCACCACCACCACACTCACCACTACACTCACCACCACCACACTCACCACCACCACTACACTCACCACTACACTCACCACCACTACACTCACCACCACCACACTCACCACTCACCACTACACTCACCACCACCACACTCACCACCACTACACTCACCACCACTACACTCACCACCACGACACTCACCACCACCACACTCACCACTACACTCACCACCACCACACTCACCACCACTACACTCACCACCACTACACTCACCACTACTACACTCACCACTACAATCACCACTACACTCACCACTACACTCACCACCACTACACTCACCACCACTACACTCACCACCACTACACTCACCACCACTACACTCACCACCACCACACTCACCACCACCACACTCACCACCACCACACTCACCACCACTCACCACCACCACTCACCCAGAAGTGTCCGTGTCTATTTTGAATTCACTTCGGTGAAGGTACTGCGAAGAATCGATCACCCGATTGAATCGACTGCCGATTCCAATCAACGGGGATATATTTATCCCCCTTCGAAGGGCACACAGGACGAAGTCGACTCAAATGCAACATTTTACTTATCGATCCAAGGATTTCGATCTCTTTATTTTAATATTTATTTGATACTTTGGCTTCAGGAAATCGTTTCTCCCGGAAATGGCGCGCGGCGGGGAATCGATTCCGACCTCGACTCCACAATTACCGGAAACGCCTTCCGACGGCCGTAGGAATCGAATCGGTTATTCCGATTCGAGACGGCAACAAAGAGTTTCGGATCGATTCCACGCTGGCCACGCCCCCTCCCCCGGCGGCCCGTGACACCGCCACCACGTGGCCTGTGACGTCACTATGTGTGTCCCACTCATAGTTCATAGTTTTCATTTATTTTGGGATAGCCCCTGTGAGCCATTCGGCTCTTGAATCGGGTGCAACCTCAACAAACTAAAACATGAACAAGAGAAACATCTTAAAGTGACTTTGTGTGTGACTGTGCAGACAGAAAATACAGGAAAAAAATATCAAAATATTCCTGATGCAAGTCATTAACAACAACAACAACCACAAGACAACTAAGATTAAGGCCATCAGTCTAACTCCGTACTACGCCAAACCAAAAAACACTTTTTCGAAATCACCAAAATAAAAGCCATAAATGCAACGTTACAGTGATCACAGGGACTGTGACCGAATTTTTTTAACAATAAACTGCATAAATAAATTATAACACCAAAATCTAGAGCCATATTTTAGGCCACTGAATAGCAGTGGCAGCTAGGGGTTGTACAACTCCTCTAGAGCAAATGCAACATTCGCCAAGACTTTAAGAAAAAAGTGTTAATATGTAAACAAGTTACACATGTTCGCGGTTGCCGATAACAACAACAACAACAACGCCAATGGGCGGTAAAGCAAAACAACAACAACGCCAATGGGCGGTAAAGCAAAACAACAACAACAGCAACAGAACGACGTCACGGGGCAAATCGCTGCTGTGGATGTCCACGAAGTGATGCCGACGACGACGATGATGATGACGTAATAAGCCACGTGGTTGAGATGCAATCAACTACGTGATGATGATGATGTTATCAGCAACTTTGTTGAGATACAATCACTACGTGATGATGACGATGACGTTATCAGCAACTTGGTTGAGATGCAATCACTACATGATGATGATGTAATCAGCAACTTGGTTGAGATACAATCACTACGTGATGATGATGTTATCAGCACCTTTATTGTGATGATATCACTACGTGATGATGATGATGATGATATCAGCAACTTGGTTGAGATACAATCACTACGTGATGATGATGATGTTATCAGCAACTTGGTTGAGCTGATATCACTACGTGGTGATGATGATGTTATCAGCAACGTGGTTGATATGTCATCACTATGTGATGATGATGATGTTATCAGCAACTTGGTTGAGTTACAATCACTACGTGATGATGATGATGTTATCAGCAACTTGGTTGAGATGCAATCACTGCATGATGATGATGATGTAATCAGCAACTTGGTTGAGATACAATCACTACGTGATGATGATGTTATCAGCACCTTTATTGTGATGATATCACTACGTGATGATGATGATGATATCAGCAACTTGGTTGAGATACAATCACTACGTGATGATGATGTTATCAGCAACTTGGTTGAGCTGATATCACTACGTGGTGATGATGATGTTATCAGCAACGTGGTTGATATGTCATCACTATGTGATGATGATGATGTTATCAGCAACTTGGTTGAGCTGCAATTACTACGTGATGATGATGATGATGTTATCAGCAACTTGGTTGAGATACAATCACTACGTGATGATGATGATGTTATCAGCAACTTTGTTGTGATATCACTACGTGATGATGACGATGATGTTATCAGCAACTTGGTTGAGATGCAATCACTACATGATGATGATGATGATGTAATCAGCAACTTGGTTGAGATACAATCACTACGTGATGATGATGTTATCAGCACCTTTATTGTGATGATATCACTACGTGATGATGATGATATCAGCAACTTGGTTGAGATACAATCACTACGTGATGATGATGATGTTATCAGCAACTTGGTTGAGCTGATATCACTACGTGGTGATGATGATGTTATCAGCAACGTGGTTGATATGTCATCACTATGTGATGATGATGATGTTATCAGCAACTTGGTTGAGATACAATCACTACGTGATGATGATGATGTTATCAGCAACTTGGTTGAGATACAATCACTACGTGATGATGATGATGATGTTATCAGCTACTTGGTTGAGCTGATATCACTACGTGATGATGATGATGATGTTGTTATCAGCAACTTGGTTGAGATGATATCACTACGTGATGATGATGTTATCAGCAACTTGGTTGAGATACAATCACTACGTGATGATGATGTTATCAGCTACTTGGTTGAGATACAATCACTACATGGTGATGATGATGATGTTATCTGCTACTTGAGTGTGATGATATCACTATGAGATGATGATGTTATCAGCTACTTGATTGTGATGCTATCACTATGGGATGATGATGATGATCGAACCCACGACCTCCTGCGTACCAAGCGAGGCAGTTTACATCTTTACTACATTTGAAGCTTTCGTGACTGCAAGGATCCATACTCTTTGGTTCTATTCGGTAAAGTCACGTAGTAGGTAAAAAATAAAACAACAAAAATCACGACGTTTCGGCCACAACACTTGATACTCCGGTCGAGACCATCGCACTACCATATATAGCAGGCGTTACTAAAAAGATTTCCAAAATTCTAAACAAACACAAGATCCAGGTCCGGTTCAATACAGTACACAAAATCCGTGACCTGATCCCATCCGTGAAGGATGTCGTTCCTGACCTACAGTACCCCGGGGTTTACAAATTGAGTTGTACCTGCGGTGACTGCTATATCGGGGAGACGAAGCGACATGTCTCTGACCGAATTCGCGAGCACAAATCAGATTTAAAACACGGCAGAACGAATTCTTCTGCCGTGGCTGATCACTGTTACAACGCTGTGGGTGATCACGATATAATTTTCTCCGATACCAAGGTTCTCTGCAAACCCACAGATTATCATCAGAGATTTGTCCACGAGGCAATTCAAGATTTAGAAACACGGACACAATTTCAACCGAGAGGATGGTTTCAAATTAATCAATCATTGGAAAGATGTTCTGAATCATGCCAAACATTAAACTAATTTCAATGGTACAGTATATTTATCCAAGTAGTGATATACCAAACTTTTGCATTGTCAAATTCCCCTCCCCCTCCCCCATGCTAAGTGTTCTATCAGCACTTTAAGTGTTCCATCAGCACTTTAGGCTAATTCCTTTGTCAAAGCGTTTGGTTTCCTCCCACACAGCTTAAAGGACTCGACCTGGGCTTGACTTTCTTCATTCCAACGCTGTCTTCGTGACAGCACGGTCCCCCTTCGCCTGATGAAGGCCACTTGTGTTGTGGCCGAAACGTCGCGGATTTTTGTTGTTTAATTTTTTTTTTACCTACGTGACTTTACCGAATAGAACCTTGCCAGGGTCCGAGATGGATTCCCGCTCACGGCCACCACCAGTGACCATTATCTGGACCAGTCCTGGGCCTCCCCTAGGTCGACTCAGCCTCAAATTAGTACCCGGTGCGCTGTGTGTAGTAAAACATCGCTAGCACTGGGGGAGAGAGAAAGGCGGTCGGGCGCGGTGCTGGTAGCCACCCACCCCCCCTCGTGTGCCACAGTGCCGGTAGCCTCCGTAGGTGCTGCTTCTCGCTAGCAGCACTTGCCCCTACAGTCTGTTGCAGGCTATACGGGGGATCTTTGTCTTTGTACGTGTGTGTGTGTGTACACAGACGGGCTAGAGAAGAGATGGAGTGATGTGGTACAGGAGGACGTGGAGCTGAGTGGACTTGCCGATGACTGGTACCAGCGGTGTCAAGATCGGCCTCTGTAGAGGAGGCTCGTGAAGGACGCTACTGAGCAGTTGGAGGCAGTCGCCCTCCAACAACAACGGAGGGCGGAGGAGCGACGCTCACAACAACGAGCGGAGCGCCGGGTGGCTAAAGCACAGCGGGTTGGCACAGTAGGGGGCACAGGTGGTGCATCAGCCAGTCATCTCAGTCAGTCGACCCGTGGCACCTGGGTCTGCCCCGTGACATCCTGCCAGCAGGCGTTCGACACTTCACGTGGCCTCAAGGTGCACATAGCCTGGCACAAGCGTCGTGGTGACGTCACCGCCACTTAGTGGCGAATGGCGGTTGTTGTTGTTGTACACAGACGTAGTTTTCCTCTTTTAGTTTCTCTCGTTACGCATCATTGCCGTTTCGTTATTCATTTTTTTTGGAGCTTCAACTCGGCCCAAGCAGGCGCCGCACTGTCAAACCTGCACAGGGTCTGGGATCGAACCGACGGCCCTCCTGTATACCAGGTCAGGTGTGGGTGAGTTAGTGGGTGAGCAGTTGTGTAGGTGAGTGAGTGGGTGAGTAAGTGGGTGTGCGGGTGAGTGAGTGTGTGGGTGAGTGAGTGAGTGGGTCAGTGGGTGAGTGAGTGGGTGAGTGGGTGAGTGATTGAGTGAGTGTCTACGTGAGTGGGTGAGTAAGTGGGTGAGTGAGTGGGTGTGTGGGTGAGTGAGTGGGTGAGTGGGTGAGTGATTGAGTGAGTGTCTAGGTGAGTGAGTGGATGAGTAAGTGGGTGAGTGAGTGGGTGAGTGAGTTTGTGGGTAAGTGGATGGATTAGTGAGTGGGTGAGTGAGTGGGTGAGTGAGTGAGTGGGTGTGTGGGTGAGTGAGTGGGTGAGTGGGTGAGTGAGTGAGTGGGTGTGTTGTTGAATGTCTGGGTAAATGAGTGGGTGAGTGAGTGGGTGAGTGAGTAGTTGTGTAGGTGAGTGATTGAGAGTCTAGGTGAATGAGTGGGTGAGTAAGTGGGTGAGTAGGTGAGTGAGTTTGTGGGTTAGTGGATGCATGAGTGTGGGTGAGTGAGTGGGTGAGTGAGTGAGTGAGTCAGTGAGTGGGTGAGTGAGTGGGTTTGTGGGTGAGTGAGTGGGTGAGTGGGTGAGTGAGTAATTACGTGCCATAGTCCCGCTACTACTAACAGCCACTTGCCCCTACAGCCTGCTAGAGGCTACCCGGGGGATCTG